TGAGAGGGGATGGTGATACTCACACCTAATGCGGTAGCGGTGCGCACCGTCTGGGGGTGGACATACTTGGGGAACTCTGACTGGGGCGGGGGCAAAGGAATATCGAACCTAACATGTGTACCCCTTAATATGCTGAATTAAAAATAAATAAATTTGTCTCAATGTAGAAAAAAACTATGCCGCCCCACCTGCGCCGTTACCTCTCCCCTCTCCGGGCCAACCCATCACCCTCCACGCGCCGGCAGCCGCTCGCACGCGTCCTTCCCCTACGTGGAAATCCTATAGCCTCTGCGCTGTGATCCTGTTCTTTGCGCACAACGCTGAGGTGCGGTGTGACACGGCGCCCTGCTCTCCTCTCCAGAACCGTACTGGAGCAGGGCTTCTGAGCCGTCGGACGCCGACCCGTTGAGGACGGGTGTCACTCTTCGTCGTGGGGCAGTCCCTGTGGGTGAGCGGCGTCCCGGCCATCTACCCACTCGATGCCAACAGAGGCCCCCCCGACATGGGCTTGTGATGGACCAACATCGTTCTCCGGACATTGGCCAAAACATCCCGGGGGGGGGCCTCCCTCCACCTGGGCACACCCCTCTCTGGCCCATTGTTTCAACCAGCGGCTTTGCAAGCACCAAAAGGCTTCCCCTGACCTCTGTCCTGGGTGGGCTCCCCCACCTGCATGCGCCCAGAGGGGGCCTCGTACTTCCATGTCATTGCACCCATCTGACTGGAGCATGACCATTCACACACGGGGGCTGTTCATTGCAGCTACCGACGTTGCACAGTGCGAGTCTGAACCCACCTCTTCTCGACTCAGACGCCCTGTGCCGCCCTGTGTCCCTCAGGGGCTCCCAGGCCCGCCCCACTGGCCAGGGTGCTGGGAGTCTTGGTGCAGAGAATGTTGGGAGGGAGACGCTCCAGTCCCACTGCCCGCTGCTGATTTGGCTCGGCGGGACATCTCGGGTCCATGCGGAACCGCCCTCTCTTCCTCCCTGGCGACCGCCAGCATTCCTCCAGGAACCTGAGCTTTCACAAGAAAGAAAGTGTCTTCAAAGCGACTTCTGCTTTTCCTTTCTAAGCAGGTCCTTCCCGAGGCAAAGGATGACGAAGAAAGCCAACACCAAGTGCAAAACAGCAAATGTTTATAATGCTTTGTGCACAGCAGGAAGACAGAACAGAATAATACGACGGGCCCTTGCCACTTTTTTTTCCAGCCCACTAAGTCAGTTCCTTCCGGGGGGGGGGGCCTGTGCCACCTGGTCGCCTTCGTGTGCTTCCCCCAAGGGGCGGCTTCGGGACACTGGAGGAGATGCACGGCAAACACGCCCGGTGCAGCGAGAGCGAGCAAACGAAGAGCAAATCTGGGGACAGCAGCCGACAGTTATTTTTCTGGGTCTACTTCTGAATCGTCAAAAGCCACCAGTGGCCTTGGGAGTGGGGTTTTGCGTAGTGCGGGGTTTACTGTTCTCGGGTGGAAGCCCAAAGGTCAAGTGACAGGCACTCGTTAGGCACGAGCTGTTCTCCCCGTCTCGTGTACGAGGCAGGCCAGTCTGGCCTGGTGCGTCTCTGCTCTCTCGACGCTAGAATTCCTAGACACTTGGCCCCAAATTCACTACACTCCCACTAGCCCTGCCTCCTCCCGTTGCTTCTGGCACTTCCAACTTGGCCCCACCCCACCGTGTGTTCTCTCTACCACCCGTCCCCAGGACCACCACCCCCAGAGCCTGGCGGGGGGGGGGCTCCTTTTGGTCTCAGGGTCAAAGTCATCTCCTTTGCCCCACCCGCAGATCTAAAGCAGCCTCAGCCTCAGCCACCACCAGCCTCCTGCTCACGAACCTAGTCACGTTGCTGAGCACCAATCGCTCTGTGCAATCACCTCCTTCACCCTGTCCCCCGCTGGAAGGTGAGCAGGGCCGCGGGTGGGCTTCCGCCACCACCTGGCCCAGTGAGTGGCTGGAAGGTCGCTCAGTTCCACTTAAGACACACCTGCCACCCAGAAACCCCTCACTGTAAACTCCCAGGGGGACTTCAGAGACTCAGGTACCCTCTCTCGGTCACTCTGGACGTGCGATCTTGGTCATTGTCACTTGTGATCTTTAGAACTGGAACACTTTTTACCGAAAAGGGGACATGAAAGAGTTGGGTGGAGGCTCAAGGAGGAGGAAACGGACCCACACAGGGGCAGTACGTTGGGAAATTTCATGAAGCAAGTCAGTGTGTCAAGGAAGGAAAGAAAAACTGGGGCTTCTCTTCGGCCTCGGGCACTAATCCCGGCGCCGCTGCGTGTCCTGCCTCACCTAATGCGTTCATCCAGCGAGTGCAGCAGACCCGCACCCAGCTCCTGGGGCTGCGTTAAGTGAGTCAGCCCTTCCCCGTCCGCTACGCTGTCCAGGGACCAAAGACAGAATCCACAAGCAAACCGATACAGCCAGGTAACTGCAGACGAAGATCTGCGCTGAGATAAGCAGGCAGGTGCAAGGATGGAGGGTGCGAGGGGAGGGAGGCTCCTCCAGCGAGCCGGGCCCAGGGCCGCTCTGATGGCTTTGCACCTGCTGGGCCCTGCGCCAGGAAATCGTCCCCACTGGAGCGCCACTGCCATGCTCCGCGTCTCAGGGATTCTGCTCGGATCCCCGGCAGGGAGGCCTTCCCCGAGCATCCTCGCTCAGCTCGCCCCGCGCCCTGTCTGCGGCGCTCGCGTGCGGAGGAGCGAAGGCAGACGCGGGGGTCTGCGGGGGACAGCGCCGCGCGCCCGGCGGAGCCGACCCACCCTCCACGCGCGGGGACCCGCCCGCCTTCCCCGCGCGCCCCCGCGCCCCTGCACGGCCGTTTGGGCGCGCTGGGGTTCTGCCCGGCGCCCCCGGTCCCAGCGTCCCGGCACCTACCGGACGCGCTCCGCCGTGACCGCGTTCCCGGTGTGCGGCCGCAGCACCGCCAGGAACAGAAGCCGCATGCCGCCGCTCGGGCCATCGACTGCCCGCCGCTGCCGCCCAGGCCCCGGGGAAGGCGCAGACGCGGGCGCCTGGGGCGCAGGGGCGGCGGGCGGTGGTGCTATGTCTGTCCCGCCCGCCGCTCCCCAAGGCCGCGCCCACGCTCGCAGGTGCCCGCGCCGCCGGGGCGGGGAGGGGTCGAGGGGCAGGGAGGGGAGAGGACGAGGAGGGGAGAGGATGGGGAAGGGTGGGGAGGGGAGAGGACGGGGAGGAGAGAGGATGGGGAAGGGTGGGGAAGGGAGAGGGCGGGGAGGGGAGAGGGGGCCCCGGACGGGGAGGGACCGAGATGGTCCTGGGAACGAGAGGGGAGAAGGGGCCGCGCGGCGGGGAGGGGGCGCGCGGTGTCTGGGGAGCTGGGGTTGGGGGTGGCGCGGGCCGCTCCCACCGGGACCAGGATCCGGGGTGACCGCGTGTAGCTCCGCAGAGACCAGAGATCGGGTCCACCCTCCAGGAGCACCCTGCTGGCAGCGGGTCTGTGCCCACGGGGACCAGCCAAGACCCGGGGTCCTCTCCCACGAGGTGCTCGGAAAGCATCTGAGCCTCCTTGTGCGCGACAACCTGTGCAGGGCCCTCCGTCCCCACGAAGCCTCGGATTCCTCTCTGCTCATACTCCTGGTGACGTGGCGCAATCGGTTGCATATTCTTTCCGCGACCCAGGCAGCCCTAAAACTAGCCGGAGCAGGGAAAGGTAGGGATGGTGTCTGAAGACAGCGACAGCCACGAGAGGACCTCTCCTGTGCGGTGAGGAAGAGGTTCGAGCCCCGAACCCGGGCCCGTCAGGGGCGAAGTGAGCTGGGTGGGCTGTGCGCGCACAGCTGGGTCTCCGAAACAGGACGTGTTGAGTGAGAAAAGTAGGGGCCGAAGGAGGCTTAAGGCAAAATGCCACCTGTGTGGACTCAAAACACGCCCCCACCCCAACGAAGCTAAGTGCTGAGAAAGGAAAGGCAAAAGGGGTGCACTCAAACGGTGCGTGTCATGTTAAGGGGTTTTCCTGGGGAGTCACACAGCCCTGTGCCTTTCTCATATGGGTCACGTGACCACTTCTTGCATCGCAGGGAGCTGAGAAACGCAGTCTATTCGCTGGGCGCGTTGCCACCTGAATAAACTGATGGACCCTAAAGAGAAACGGGAGAATGGCATGGAAGCAAGTCGTCTCCGCAGTAGCAATACAAATGGGGCCACAGGAGGAAACCACGTGACCCTCTCCGCTGGCACAATAAGGACATTCAGTCAAATTCACTCATTCCTGATGACAGAAAAGAAATAAAAAAGGAAAGAAGAAAGAAAGTACCAAGAGAAGGAGGGAAGGAGAGAGGGAGGGAGGAGAGATGGAGGGAAAGAAGGAAAGAGGAACCTAAAAATTCAGTAATGTTACCGAAAGTTCTGGTATTTGCCCCCGAGGCTGCATCAGAAGAACGAGGGCAAGGAGAAGAAGATTTGAGGAGAAGGAAAGGGGAGTTTATTAATTTGCTGGCAAATGAGGAGGCTGGCAGACTCCTGTCTCAAAGTACCAACGTCCTCTGAGCAGAAGTACGGAGCTTTTAAAGGTTCTGATTAATCCCATCGCCCCACCTTTGGCTAAAACAATCTCATGACCTCTGCCAGGATTGATCCCACCTTCTATGGCACAAAGAACAAAGGACACTCCCTCCTCTACAGCTCATGAGAGGTTGAACCAGATGCAGAACTGCTCTCCAGGGGACTTCTGAAATTTGGGGGTGTGGAAGGAAACGGTGTTGTCTGAATGATTAAGGAATGCTGTTAGTATTTCACAACAAGGCAAGGAAGGTTTAACACTTTGCAACATACAGAACAGCCCTGCCCAAAGAAAAATCGCTCTTCCCCAAATGCCGATAGATAGCTGGATTAGCCAGAGTTCTCCAGAGAGACAGAACCAGTAGATTTACATACAAACGTGGAGATTTAGCATGAAGGACCAGCTCGTGTGATCCTGAGAAGTCCCACTGCCGTCCGCAAGCTGGAGCCCCAGGAAACCCAATGGTATAATTCAGTCCACACCCAAAGGCCTGAGAACCAAGGGAGATGAAGGTGTCAACCCCAGTGCCTGGCAGAAAAGATGAGATGAGATGTCCCAGCTTAAGCAGGGGGGGCAGGGAGGAGAAAGGAGGAGGAATTCCACCTGCTCTCTGCAGGCCCTCCAAGGCTTGGGGGTGGGCACCTACTTTGCAGAGTCCTCTGATCCAAATGCTAATCTCACCTGGAAACACCCTCACAGGCACACCCAGAAGTAGTATTTAACCTGGGCGCCCCCTGGCCCTGTCGCCACATTGACTCTTAAGATGAACTGTCACAATACCACTTCCTCTCATGGTTGGGAAATATTGGACGTGGCACATTCTCTTTTGTTTTCCAAAGCGGAGATGAGACCACTTTTCTACTTCTGGTTGTGACCTTCTGTGCTCCAGACTGCTCTTTCCTTAGCCCAAGGCTTCTTAAAGCAGACCTAACAGACGGCCACAAACTGGGTGGCTTAAAACAACAGGAAATTTTTTTCTCTCTCTCACAATTTGGGAAGGCAGAAGCCTGAGGTCGCAGTGTCAGCTGGGCTGCACTCTCTCTGGAGACATTAGGGTGGAATCTCTGAGTTGCTTCTTCCAGAGGCTGGTGGCTGTGGTTGCTCCTTGACTTGTGGCCACATCACCCCAACCTCCGCCTCCATGGTCACAGGGCTGCCTCCTCCGCCATCTGTCAAATCTCCCTCCGCAAGCTTCTTAGAAAGGCACGTAATCGTTGGATCTAGGGCACACTGGATAATCTAGGATGATTTCCAAATCTCAAAACCCTTATCTTAATTACAGCGAAAAACCTCTTTCCACATAAGGTCACTGCTATGGTTGGAATCGTCCTTGTCCTCTCCAAAAATTCATGCTGGAAGTGACTCCGCAGTGCAACAGTATCAAGAGATGAAGCCAGGAGCGGTGGCTCACGCCTGTAATCCCAGCACTCTGGGAGGCCCAGGAGGGCGGATTGCTCGAGATCAGGAGTTCGAGACCAGCCTGAGCAAGAGCGAGACCCCCGTCTCTACTAAAAATAGAAAGAAATTAATTGGCCACTAATATATATAGAAAAAAATTAGCGGCATGGGTGGCACATGCCGTAGTCCCAGCTACTCGGGGAGGCTGAGGCAGGAGGATCGCTGGAGCCAGGAGTTTGAGGTTGCTGTGAGCTAGGCTGACGCCATGGCACTCACTCTAGCCTGGGCAACAAAGGAAGACTCTGTTCAAAAAAAAAAAAAAAGAGATGAGGCATTTATGAGGTGATTAGGCCACAAGTGCTCCATCTTCACAGATGGCATTAGTGCCACATGTCACCTGAAGAATGGCAAAGTCCTTACCTTTGGAAAAGAGGGCTTTATTTCCTATGCGCAGCCTGCAGGTGGTCACTCGGACAGGCTGGGAAGCGTAGCCTCCAGCCAGAAGCGGGAACCAGGCACTTGAGGAAGATACAGAGGAGACAGAAATGTACGCTGAGCACGGTGGCTTAATTTACATATTTAACAAGCCGTAGGAGGAGTCATGAATATTTATGAAAGGAGAACCCTGTGTGGGCACAGCTGAGCTTCCTGGCCCTTCATGGGGCCCATGTTCAAAAATGGTGGTGTCAGCGTGATCCCCAGGGTGAAGTTTTCAGCCCTCTGATGCTAAAAAGGGAAGCAGAGACACCAAAGTACTCAGTGCTCGACCTCGGCAGACCTGCCAGAGCCACTCGGTGGTGGGTGGTCTCTCAGAGGAAGGAAGGAATGCAGGTCAGTGGTGTTGGAAGCACAACAGGGAGGGGCAGTCGAGGTTGGTTGAACCCAGCAGTGAGCTGAGTCTTTCCAAAGTGCCAGCTCTGTCCAGCCCTTAGGGACAGAGCCTGGTGGCCATCAGCCAGGGAGAGGGTATATATATAACGAGGCATGGTCTGAGTTCTCCATCCTGTCCTGGCCGGGAACTCAGTTTTAAGGTTTCTCTGGGGTCCCCTTGGCCAAGAGGGGGTCCGTTGTTCAGTTCACTGGGGGCTTAGGACTTTATTTCTCACTCCCCACCTAAGTCACTCACCTCTGCAATCTCTTCTTGCCTGGGACTATGTCTTGTCCCAGGAGCAATGGCCATGGCAGTCAATAAATGTTGAATTAAACCAAATCATTCCATGTGCACGGTTGCGTGAGATTTTATTCCTATGAGGACGCATCCCCGAGTATTTGTGTTTTTGTTTTTTGTTTGTTTGTTTTAGTGGAAGCCAGTGCTGCAGCAGGATTTGCTAGGCTGAAATTTACCCATATTTGATTTTTCTGGAATACACCTGTTCCATAAGGTAACCCTCACTTATAAGAGGGTTCACGGGGGTGAGTTTACCCCTTCCATCTCTCCTGCATGGGAGGACACAGCGTCCATGGCACCTAGATGAAGCGGCAGCATGTCACCTTCTCGCAAACAAGAGTAGCCCTCACCAGACACCAGATCTGCTGGCACCTTGACCTTGAGTCACCGCCAGCCTCTAGAACTGTGAGAAACAAATTTCCACTGTCCATAAATTACCCAGTCTTGATATTTTGTGATGGCAGCACAAACGGACTAAGACCATCGTCTTGTTTACGGGTTCTGGGGCTTATCTTCCTTGGGGGCCACTGTGAGGCAGGCCACAAAACCCCATTTCAAAGACTGTTGCATTTACTAAGATCCCTTGATCACTGCATCTGGGGCTGTCCTCCACCTTCCCTAACCCCCATGGCTCTTGGTCCCCCTCTCGTCTGTCCTGACCCCATTCCGCATTATAACCACAGTCAACCACGGCGTGACCTCCCCACCTAAGTCACTCACCTCTGCAACCACTTCTTGCCTGGGACAATGTCCTGTCTCAGGAGCAATGGCCATGGCACTCAATAAATGTGGAATTAAACCAAATCATTCCATGTGCACGTTTGCGTGAGATTTTATCCCTATGAGGATGCATCCCCGAGTATTTTTTTTTTTTAGTGGAAGCCAGTGCTGCAGCAGGATTTGCTAGGCTGAAATTCACCCATATTTGATTTTTATGGAATACACCTGTTCCATAAGGTAAGAAATATCTAATGTGTTTTTGGGGACCCATTACCTGTCCGTTGCTTCAGTTTACCCATTTGTAAATGAGAAAA